TGATTCTTAAGGAAGGAAGGAAAAAGTTAAAGGAGAATTTATAAAAATAAACAGTGCTGAAAAGTCTAAGTAAAAAATACTTGGCCTTTCTAAAAACACATTTACACATTTTGTTGACATCTGCAAATCTGCTGCTCTGTCAAATTTCAGATCAAATGTTAAAATCCTAAATATTAAAATCCTTATGCAGAAGTTTTAATGCTTTTGAGAGCATGAGTTATCCCTTTTAATTATCATAATTTCTGTGCATGCAGTCCACAAGCTATGGTGTAAGCTTCTGTATTTAGTGTCTCTAGACAACCCAAGTTATCAGAGTGAAATCTCTATTTTTTCAAGGCTGGAAGCTGATACATCCACTAACAAACCTGCACAGATACACCTGAGGGTTGTTAATTTTGTAAATAAACATTTAAATCCCTAAAGCCCACTTTAGTAAAATGTGCTCATGCTTTTAATCAGTCTACAAAAGGGACAGCTTCTGAATCCCATGAAAGCTTCATAGTAAAAGATTGATTAATTGATTGAACTTGCAGGTGATCTAAAAACAACTGAGCTCACAAGAACTTGAAAACTGACACTGAGTTCTACTGGTCAACAGCTGGACCATTAATTTTATCTCCTACTATCACTGTGCACTATGAATTTGTTACTATCAGTTTCACCCTATTGCATTGAAGCTGCACATTTGTTAGCCTGTGAAATAAAGGCAGCACTGCAAAAGCCTCAAAATGGTGAGATTGTTTCAAAATTATTAGCAAAAGTAGCAATTATGACATAAGTAACATAAGAAAAAGGATGAGGAGAAGAAAGCTATGTGTCTTCATAAAACATATGGAAGCCCATGAAATGGCATCAAAGGCTGGTGCTTTCCCCTGCTGCCTCACTACTGCACCTGGGGACCCACTTTGAGGTACCAAAACTGCCCTCACAAGGGAAGAACTGCACAGTTTTCATTGTCCAACTGGCCTTCAGCTGACAGAGTTAAAAGACCCAAATCCATAGAAAGACATTAATTTTCTATTAGGACTGTCACTAACAATTAAAAGCATTTGTTCTGACACATCTGAAAAGAGAAACCAAACACATTGGAAATCCATCAGAAAGAAATTGAATCAGAAAGATTGTGGCTGCTCTTTAAGTCTGAGCTTTGTTTTCCAACATGGCTTTTTGTATTTTGCCTCATTACAACATTCATACTGTATCAGATATTCCTTTCAGAGGGTTTCAGTGGACGCCAGCAGCTGGGAAGCTCAGCCAGCAGCCAAACAATGCCCGAGTTGAGAAGCAAGCCCAGGATTCCTGCCTCCAGGCTTGGCAAGTGCTGGAGCTGTTACGGAGGTGATTCAAGTCCATCACTCTCTGGAAGACAGCCACCCTCTGTCTCTTTACAGCCCCACCCCTTGCCCCCAGCAGCCAATTTGGCCTGCAGTTGGGCTCACTGGTAACTAAGTATTAGGAGGATAAAAGTATACAGGGAAGTCCAAAATGGAAAGCCAAGAATTAAGGTGCAACTGAAAACACAGCCATGCCGGAGCTGCGTTCCTGAGTTACTGCTGCTCCTTTTTGAGATAGCAACGGAAAAGTGTGACACAATGCCAGAAGATTTCTAGTTGTCAAGTAGAAGAAATATGGACTAACCCTCCTTTATGCATGAATCAAACGCATTAACAGAAAATCTAATGGATGCCTTGAAATACAATTAACCAAAAATACTACATGGTAATATGCGTTGGATCACACACCCACCCACCCCCTCCTGGCACATGTACAGCATGCACACATCCATACGGATTTATTCCTCTTTATGTCACCACTTGAAGGTGATGTGGCCATTGTAGACCACCGTGGACTCTATCCCACTTCAGTCCTGGTCTCTCACTCCAGCTGACAGTTGCTCACTGTGACTGACCACGGTAAGTAAAGCATTCCACGAGATGAAAATCAACCATATTAAAGCTCAAAAGCAGCTACAACTAACTTGTAAAAGCTGGCCTCCAGCTGCAATGCTAAAGGCCCTGCACACATCAAATGCTCTCCCTGTCTGCATCACCATGCAACCTACTACAGCTCTCAATTTTTTTTTCTCCCCAGTATGCAGTTTATGTGCAAAAGCAGGGTCATCAGATCTTACTCACGTCACTTCTTGAAGCAACTGCTCTATGGAGAGGAGTCAGCCACATATTGTCCTTGGCATTGACACGAGCGCCTGCAAGTAAATAGCAGAGGTTACCAACCATGCCCTGGGTGTGACACCAAAAGCCTTGCCCAGCTGGTTTCCTGGCAGCAAGGACTGAGCTGCATGTGGAACTCTCAGCACTTCCCACAACCCTGGGCTCACCCTGGAAATGCATCTCCAGATCCTGAAGAGGTAGGAGCTGAGGCATGATTCAGAAATAAAGGAACTAGATAGTTCAGACTACTATCAGGAATAGCCTTGTTTACATGACACAAAAGAAGCAAGATCTGGTTTAGGGGATCATATCTGTAAGTATGTACGTGTATGTTTATGTATTTGCATTTTTTAGATCAGCTCATACAGCTGGGGGAGAAAAAGCAACCCTTTGCCTGATCACAGCACTGCTGCTGTCTGCAGACATAACAAAGGGAACAAGCCTGAACAACTGCCTCTTGTTCCCAGCTCCATCAGGCAGACCACTAGAAGATACAACCACTTCCCTGCTTTGCAAGCCTTACTGTGACCAAGCAAACAGGACTGGGAAACGATCAGGTTGAGGAGGAGCTGGGCACTGACAGCCACAGCTTCTGTGGGAGTTATTCAGCAAACATTAGAAGAAGAGAGATGAAGAACAAGAGGATGGGTTTGGGGTTGCTTGCCAGAATAAAGGAAGAATATTTAACAACTACAGCAGTGCTGGCTAACTGCAGATGGGGACAGGGCGGGGGGGGGGAAGGAAGGATCCTGTACATTTGAGTGATAAATCAGACTTGTTTGAAAGGAATATTGAAACTCTTAACTGATGTGACATCCAAGAAAGGAAATCTAGTGAAAAGGACATGAAAAACTAATGTTAAAAAAGGGCTTAACGTGAAAACATTGTACCTCTCAGATCTGCTGGTAGCAGTACTAGTTTGAGAAGACAAGTACATGAAGAAAAATTTTACACAAGCACAAGCATCATGCACACAACCTGGATGAGCCTGTTGGCTTCATAAACAAAGGGATTCTTAGGCTTCATTTTGTGCTCTAACCTACGAACAGACAAAATCCTATAATCAAAAAATCATACTCTCTGAATCAAAAGTACTTTCTGACACTTCTCAGGAACATTAAGGTGCTTGCCTCTGAATCACAGTGTTTACTGGGATTTGCACTAGATAACCAGTGATTAAACAAGTTCTTTCACATTTCCAGAAGCTGGGATATAATTTTATGGCTGCAAGAAAAAGAAAGCCACTTCCATAACTATTGCAACAATTAGAGGCAACTCTGAACTCACCTCAGAACCTCATACGTGGTGACACAAACCTACTCTCTGGAAAAATACTCTTCAGAAAAGACAGCTGTTTCAAAAGGGTTTTCTGATGAATCTGTGTAAGCGAGGAAGGTGCTGCCTTCTTTGCTTTACATGAGAAGGCCATTTTTGGTTGATGCAAGTTAGTATTCTGCCCTTTGCCTACACTGCCCAAGAGTGAGGCACTAAGGCAACAACCTCCCTCACCATCAGCAAGCTGGCAGAGAGCACTCCAAGGCACCTTTCCTTTTACTGATTTGGCCTGATAGGGGTCTTGATGCAAATTACCTAGATAAATTCCTCGTGATTGCCAACAAATACCTCTTCTCAGGTTTAGAAATTTATTTTTTATTTGTCTTGGTTTTTTTGGCTTTATGTTAACTAGGGTTTCTTTTTGTTTATTTCAACCCATTCACTAACTCTGATAGGCAAATGATTGCAAATCAGACAGCCTTATGTGCGGAGTAGAAAAGTGTGACAAACATATAATTCCTCAGCATTCAACAACTACAGTGGCATTGGTGAATATGAAGATCATTAGAAAACCTAGGGAAGTGTCTCTGTCAATAGCTATTCATGCCTTTCACTGATCCACTCATCCTTTGGGAAACTAAAATAGTTGCCAAGAAAACAGCTAAAGAATATAATAAAATGAAAACAGTATCAGCATAAATAAAACAACACATAGCATGTTATCAGCTTTTTCTTCCTCAGCAGTTTCCCACGTTACCTCTTTGTGCTTTGGGCTCTTTATGTAACAAAGTGAAAATGTTCTTATGTATCTAATTCAATACATCAACTGAATATGATTTTGATTTCTCCTTTTTAAGAGCTGCACAATTCAGCTGTTGCCTGTTGCAGAAGTCACTGTTGTCCATTTACTGAGGTGCACATTTTCTGAAGTGCTAATTTGAAATGTTTCCCTCTATACTGCCGGTTTTCTTCACCAAAATGCATCTCTCTGTTTCTTGCCAGCTGATGGTTAACAACAATAAAAAACTTCACCAGCACTGGCACACTCCTACAGGGGCAGAAAATATCTGCAATTTACTGAAGAGCAAGCAGAGGCACCCTGGGAGCAATGCTGAAGTTTTCAAAGGTGTCCTCTACTCTTCACAACTTTAGTGTAGACGCTGTGACAGCCACAGGGCCACAGGTCTTTGAAAGCACAGAACATCACAGAAATCCAACTCAAAAGAGTAAGTGCTCTACAACATGGTAAGGTACCTAAAATCAGCTATTTCAAAAATCAGAAACTTAATTTCAAGTCCAACCCCCAACACTTCCTCAAAGTCATCCAGAAATTCAGTGTCCTTCACTCTGGACCAAATACCTTAACTGTGTTTCAAGGCACTGCCTACAATACTCCATGGATTAATCTGTGTTATTTCAAGGACCAGAGGGTTGATAACACACTCAAATTAGTGTCTATGTTGTCCTTCAGAGTACAGTCTTCCTTGAAAAGTTAAGCTGCTTTAAACATTTTGCATAAGATCCTTCCAGATAGCCACAGAACCCACCCACCCCCATAAAATAACCACTTCTAGAAATGCCACTTCTGAGAAGAGCCTTTTCTCAGCCCCATCCCTTGAATTCTGCCTTCAGGGGTGGTCGTACCCACAGGCCTGAAGGAAAGGCTCAGCCACTTGATTCACTCTGTCAGCCTGAAGTAGACAACAGAACATATAACGTTACAGATAAAATCAACAGAAAGGAAACTTTCTGTAATTCACTCTTCTTTAATATGGCTGTTTTGTAATCTTTGCCATCTTTCACTCTCAAATTTTTCTGCCAAAAGAGGAAATAAATCTGAAACTGCCTCTGTTCTTTTGAGATCTGAAATAAACAACCCAATGCTGGCTTTCAGGAATAAAGTTAACATCTCTTCATCCTAACCAAAGTACAATTTTCCATCCAGCACAGCTGCCAAATCCAATAAATCTAGATTCTTCCGTCTAAGTCTCTGAAATTAGGGATGGTCAACACAGGAAGGAAACTCTATTCTTTAACCTATTAATGACATTAATAATATGCACCTTTCCAGCTTCTGCTCTGAGACACAGCAATGGACACACGAATATATAAGGAACGCCCACGACACACACAGAGACACGTAACACAAAGCAAAGGCCAACACGAATAAAATATAACAACAGGGCAGCACCAGGTGATAGATGGAACCAGATGGAATCACAACATGAGAGAAACACAACATCATGCCAGAACACCTAACATGGCAGAAACAGGAGTTTAGGCAGGATCTCCTTGGGAGGCAGGTCCAAGCCACTTCTTAAGGAGCAACATGGCCTGCAGATCTCGCCAGCACATTTCTCCAGTTTGAACCATATGATTATGGATTAGACTTTTGAGCCAGTGTAGATTTACCTAGTACTGACATTTAATGGCCCTGGGTGACCAATACCAGTTGAGGGATCTGGCACTCTCTCTCCTGTATCAATTCCAAACAGATTCCATTTCAGAGGCTACCTAGAAAGGTATTTTTCTTGTGTCCCCAACCATCTGGGAAGAAGTTTTATTCACTAGACACTATATTTATTTGTGTTGCCACCAGTTAATGGGCCACAAATCTCAAAAGGTGCATATTTCATTTAATTTCTCTCCTAAGCCCTGTACAAGATGCAATGGGTTGCTTTTCCTCCTCACTTCTGCTCAGGTTGAGAATGTTATTGTTTGACACCAACAGGAAACATTTTTCTGCTTTCTCTCTGTGAACACACCCTCTCATTTTAAATCAGATAACAAAGTTTTTTGCTTATGTAACTAAATGTTAGGATCAGATTAATCTGTTATGATACACTTTTACTAATACAGTTTACTGAATGAAGAAGTGAAGCAAAGGGAACATGCTGCTGTCTTTGGAGCCTGGTTCACAGAGACATCAAGTAACAAAAAGAAGTTTATAATAACTTAGAAATATGCTCCTTCAGATTTCATAAACCTCCAGACCTGCTCTTGGATACAAGTACTGATTCTCACCATGAGTAATGATACTTCAGAGATTAAAGGAAAATTAATAGCTAGACCATACAACACACTATTAATTTTGACTCATGCTGAGCTAGTTGGGAAGGATCCACAGGGTTCCTGCAGACTGAACCCCAGCAGAGTCCTGCTGACACAAAGTTCAATTTTTAAAAACTCACATTATAAGTTTTTACACTCACTTGGATATATTTTAAAAAAACAGTATAGACCACCTGAAATCTATGCTGCTCACCAGACAAACCCTATAGCCCGTGAATGACATTTTGTCAGTGAGGTGATGGAACAAAGTGTCCCAGAAGAACACTAGAGAGTCACCTTCCCTCATGAGGAACATGACAGAAAACAAGCATGTTCACCAGGACTTTTTTTGATGCTACTGGCATTCAGGGGAGAAATGGCCAGAATTACTTCATGTTCTCTTCATGTGGATACTGCCTGCAGCCATTACTTGCAAAACTGGAAGAAAGGCATTGCTCCTGCAGTCTTCTCACGCCACAATGGAACACCAGGATGTGACAAATACCACACACTGTGAGAACACATCCACAGATTAAGTGTATTAGCTTTCATCTCCAGTGAAGAGGCATGTTTGCATTTAGCATATTGAAAATCCATCCAAACACAATTTATCAGTGGAGGAATGTTCATTTAAATCATTCTGCTGGCATCAGGGTTAGAACAGAAAGATCTGCTGTATGATGTTTGTCCAGCTAGCTCATTAAGGAATTAGACACCTCAAAATGCTCCCAAAATTGTACAGAGGAAATGCATAGCTAAAGCAAACTGAATTCTTATTTTCTGCCCTTTCCAGCTGTGGTTAGACAGGTAACGCAATGAAATATGTTTGTGTGGCTTGCATATGCCCATTAGCAACCTGATGATCTAACTTTACAATTGGCTGGTGCTCCAAGCAGGGGGCTGGATCAGGTAACCTCTAGAAATCCCTTCCAGCTTGAATTGTTCTAGATCAGGAATTAGAAGGTGCCTTTCAATCACAGGACTGATAGATCTGAAATAACTTTCTTTAAAACTATGCAACTCATTTGAAGAGGCAGTCTAGTAATTTGTTAAAGCAATCATATAGCAGGGCTGCTTGCAAGACATTAGCTATTTGTGCCATACGGTTGTTTTCAATCCCGCATTCTTAAACCACCATAAGCTTTACCCTTACAGTTCTCTAGTTTAGAAAAATACTGCCTTTGAAATCTGCAAGCATATCCAGGAGTTTGCCATTAATTATGTGTGCTTCTTAAGAGACATCTGTTTTATGCTTTGTTCGGACACATTTTAATAATGTTTTTTGTCACTATGACAATCAGGAACTTTTTTTGCCTGTTTATTGGGTTTTGGGTTTTTTTTTTCCCCTCAGTGCTTCTGAAAAGGTAGGTTAGCATTATATTTCTACTACAAGCTGAAAAAAAAAACAACATCCAGGGAAAGGAGTCAGTAAGAGGGATTAACACAGCTCTTAGTCCAATATTAAGGCTGTACTTCAGTCCTTTACGTCACACCCACACACAATAAATAGAGGCATTGTGAGCACCTATGGCAAACCTTTATCAGTCTCCATGTACACACATAAGAACTGCTATTTTTGTTCATGATTTCTCGTTGTAAGACATCAGATGACAACATACAGGATGAGCTTTTTGGCAATGTCCCAACAAAGCATTTAACCTAATATACAGAGATTTGTGCTTTTTTGAAAGGAGAAGGTAAGCATCTACAAATAATGTTTAACATACTGTGGTTTTGACTAAAGTATCTTAAGGTACTACAAATATATAAATTGTATGTACACAGATACATATAGATAGACATATCTTTTTACTCTAAGAACATCAAATGTTTAGACAAACTTTCTTTTCTAACAAATTTCTTTTTTCTTTTTTTTTTAGACACTAACCACAAAAAAGATCACATTTTATAAACATATTTTTTAGTATAGATCAGTTCCAAAAAACACCAGTTATTCTACTTCCTATTTGCAAGTTCTTGGGTTTAATTTGTTTAGCTACATCCTACTGCACAGTTTCCATTCTCCAGATCAACTTCACGACTCCTAGAATCATGTTTTTAATGTAAATGCCACTTATGATTCATTCAAATTCATTAATTATTTTTTTACTGTTATTCCATAACATTTTTCTTTAACAGAAATTCTTGGCTTATACTCCTGGGCATGAGCCCACATTTCAAATACATACTTCAGCAAGTTACTGAATCCAGAAATATTGGAAGTTTGAATGCTTTAGAAGTTTTTTAAATTAGTTGCTTTGTTTGTTAATTCCACTCAGTCACAGTGAAAGTTTTATAATCATATCACCAAATTTAAATACATTCTCCAGGCTTGCAACAACTGCAGCCAGATCTGTGACACTCAGAAATATGCACTGCCCAAAGATTACTCATATATGCTTTGCTGGGTATTTCCTGTAGCTTTAAAATTAAATAATTTACCAGTTAATAACAATGAGGGACACTAGCTTACCTGACAAAATGAGCAGCTCAATGATGTCTGCATCCCCCAGGAATGATGCAACGTGAAGAGGAGTTCGTTTCTCAGCGTCCTACAAAACCACAGATTGTCCAGTTACAAAACATCATCAATAATTGCAAGCATTAGTGTTAAAGAGCAAGGGGTTTCTAGATAGTGTTTCTTTTTCTATGTGCATTTTGTTTATAATTAGGAATGCAATCTCAATCAAGTGGAAGAACAAAATTCAACGTCCAAACAACACACTTCCTCCAAATAATCCTCAACTTTTTTATCACTTGGCTTCATCAGACCTTGCAGAGACACTTTCTTTACTCTGATATCCTGTTTACAGATCAAATTTTAAAAAATGAGGAAACACATCATTCTTGGGTATCTTTTGGAAGCATTTTCACTCTAAGTAATGCAGTGACATTATTCAGATGCTTCTGGACATCACACTTTGTAGTGCAGCTTGCATCAACAATTAAACACCAGACTCTTCAGAAGCATAACCCTGGAAAACAGTTTGGAACCACACACAGACAAGATGCAAGCCTCTTAGCCTACAAAGATTCTTGTACACCATTTAGCCTGGTTCTCTGCAGCAGCCCAAAATGAGCTTGTACACCTTGACAGACCTTTGAACACAAATAAAGGAAAAATTAGCAGTCAGAATTGCTTAAAATGATACATACAACTTAGAAAATGCATATACTTTGATTTCTGTAATTTTCAGCCTCAGGGAGTCACATTTTCAAGATTTTATTTTCTGACTTTAAGGGGTGTAAATACAGTGTACACAAAAATCCCTTTTCTTTATTGCCCTGTTCAGATGATTCCAGAACACAGGCCTTTAAAAGAAAATGCAAAACATTATAACATGGGAAACAAAAATCACAGTAATTGCTAATACTGGTAATCATCATGCTATTTGACCCCAGCTTCCAGTCCTAAATGTATCTCATTTCTGTTTCTTAACCATTAATTTAAAAAAAAAAAAAAGTTCTAAGAGACTTATCGATCAAATGTATCAAATTACAACCTACAAGCATTAAATGGCGTAAGGTGGTAACAGATCCAACATCTCCTGCAAAATTATATCAACACAGAAACCCTCCCATTATTTACACTCTCTCCCTGAAACATCTCTGAGCCTGTCGAGAAAAATACCACTTTTAACATGCCTACGAGGTCATCAACTGAAAGTTATTTTGGACTATCCTCAAAGTCTGCTATAAATGTGGACAAATCAGCACAGCAGAACCATTCGTCATGTGAATGTTGATTGTTGCTTTCCAACACTGTGAGGTACAGAGCCACTGGTCACCAGCATAAGTTACATTTAAGTTTTATATTTGTCTGTTTTTTGAAACATACATGATATATATAGTCCTCAAATTCTGCTGGAGTGGGGTTTGATCTTACAAATCAGGCACGGGCATAAAGTGTTCACAAGACAGATTATGTGACATCCTGCTTGTCATAGGTTAGAGGGAAAGTATCTTCCAGGACTTCAACTCCTTATGTGGTAGGCAAATTAAAATGATATTAAGCAGTGTCCATCCAGGAACTGAAATCACAAGCTGGATTCTCTCATATATTCAGTTCCTAAGACATAACCCATCACAGACTAGCTTTACAGGCTACATGAGTGCATACCACAAGTTTCATAGGTATTGCTTCATATTACCTATCCTAAGGCTGACCATGGGAAAAACATGCTGAGACTGATCAAACGTTTCTACAAAAATACAACTGCTTTTATTTATGCTCTAGGTTGTTCATTTCATGGATTACTTTCTCTTCAGAACAACGTAGTATGTGTAATAGCTACCAAACCTGTCAGTGATAAAGTCTGTGGCAGCTTCTTGCAACAAAGCCAAGTTTGGCAACAGAACAGAGTAGCTTGAAGTTGAATGCTAACAATACAAGACCAAGCAATTTTCTGTTTCAAGGAACCAAGGCTATTCAGAGCTTTATTTGTTAATTTCATAATTGAAGGAGGAAAGAACATGAAACAAGAAAGTAGAATTATTATCCTTCTGTAACAGGAGTAACTCTTTGCAATCATTCTCAGCTTTCACTTTTTAAAATCTATTAAAAATTCTGTTAAAGTTAAGTGAGAATCAAGTCTTGAGAGAAAGATAGGTTTAGTACACACCTGATTTTAAACTTAATTTTTCCAACAGAAAAAATCCCTAAAATTTCTCCCTTTATCATAACCAGGTACAAATCACCTCACATTAACTAGCAGACAACAAAACCCAATGTGTGGTATAGAAAATTAAAAACACAGAAGAGAACCCTGCAGTCAATGTTTTCAGGAGTCTGGCAGGGAGAAGTTCACAAACAAGGCCTGCAGCTGAGCATGCAGTGAAGCAGCTCAACGGAGGAACATGCTCAAGTTCCTGTTTATGCTCTGTACAAGCCAACACAGCAACAGAGGAACTGGGGCATCCAACCACACTCCTCGTGTCCTCCTCAGAGCCATGTGTCTCTGCAACAGGACTTGCAAAGCTTGCTGTCTTTGTCTCTAACCTGTGCACTAACATCTGTTCTGCTACAGGTGTCCCTGTGGCATGAGTGTAGTAGCAGCAGTACAAATAAGTAAATTAATAATTATCTAAAAACTGAAGGCTACCGAGAGAGAGGAAAATCTGTCATTTCAGGGAAAGGTCTGGCAGCACCCTGAACCTGAATGTAAATTACAAAGGCATGGAAAAGTGGTGAGGGAAAGAAATTACAACAAGATTACAAATAGCATTAAGACAAACAATCAGACCTGCTTGAAGTGCAACTCTCAAAGGAACAAGAAGTCAGTAGGAGGCAGCAGATAAGCTAAACAATGGCTAGAAAATCATGATAAGATAAGATAAACTCTCACCAAAACTGTATTAGTGACTGATATTGGTTCACAAAAAAAAAAAGTATTATGCTGCATTTTAACATCATCCACACATGCTCTTTAAAAAAAATGTACAGATAAAGGAAATTAAGAATTTAAGAAACAGGCAATCGAGGACAGAAGGCCTCAGCAGGAAAACCACTCAACACATGCTTAAACTGTTCAAGTGCTCACAGTGACACTGATAAGGCCCTTTGCAGGCTTGAAGTCAGGCTAGTCTTTAAGTGCTTTGTTGGATCAGGGCCTCAGATTAGCAGAATGGTGGCTTGGATGAATCATAACAGCAAATATGAAATACTTAGGCACATTAAGAAAAAGGCCAACAGTTTTTCCTCAACACAGCCTACATCTCAAAGTACATAATAGAAGTGTACTTTATATCAAAACTGTGGCTCTTCAGATCAGAAGATGTTTGGGACAGTTATTTACTATTAAAATACACATGTAAACGTAAATGCCTGTATCCTTTTTTTGTCACCAAACTGTCTGAGCAGCCAAGAGGAATAGTTCATCATAGAAGGAAGCACCACAGAAACCAAGTTATTGAAGTTTCACTAGTACGAAGTCTTTGGAGTCCCACCACCTCCAAGCAGCCTGGGAGGCAAAGTAAACTAAACAATATTAGAGGCACATGAACAGCTAAAACTTCCATTGATACAAGGCTAAATGAACAGAAACAAACCTCCTGCTCTTTAACTACATTTAGACCTGGGCATACCTAGTTTAAATAGCATGAAGTAGCTGGTACGATTAAAAAAAACCAAGCATTCAGATACAATTGTCTTCAGGAAAATTAAATATTGGGAATTGGTTAGGAACTACTGAAAGGGCTAAAGCAAATGAGCAGCTACTTCTTGGACTATATACAACCATTCAGTGACAAAAGTTGATGCTGTGCAAAGAAGATCTCTGTTGCTTTAGGATTTTCTCCCTCTCACAGAATTTTTTATTAAAGCCTCTAATTCACAAAGCAAATCAGAACACCTAGCTGTGAGCACAAGCTGGGAGGTGAAAGTCAAGCTGTGTAGCTAATGCCCAGGGCTCACTCTTCTGTTATTACCAAGTACGGAAGTTCCTGTCTCAAGCTGCAGATTTGGTACGAGCAACTCTCATCCAAACAGGGTCTTCAGTTTAGCTTCAGAAACAAAGATTTTTCTGGACTCAGTCTTTAATTGCCAAGTGCCCATGAGGTGGAAGAGGCAAATACTTAAGATTTTCTGGAGTCAAGAAAAACTGTTATCCTAAATTAATGGAAATGTTTTAATGTTTATAGCAGTGAGTTTTCAATGTAAGTCTCCTCCATTTTTAGAAATGCAGTATTGAACTGGGGGCAGGGGCACATGGTGCTGATGGCATGGGAATGTACATCCCTTCTGAGCTGATGGGCAAAGCAGATTTAGAAAATTCAGGTGTTATTTCAGACTGATGTTGCTGAATTCAGAGAAAATAAAGCAGCTACAGTCAAACCCCGCCGTGAGCTTTTAATGGCCTATACATACTTATCAGTCTCAAACTTTGAGGATAACAATAACATGAGTCACTTAACACAGATATATATTAAAAACCTAGTACTCACTAATATCTAGCATGCTGTACAAAGCAACTCCCAATATTTACACACTCATTAAACTCCAGCAGAATCTTCTTCGCAATTCAAACATCTTCTTCATAAAGTATAAATAATTCTATTTATTTTCTAAAAGAAAAAATGTTTCTTCTAAACTAAAGACACAGTGGTTGCCTTGCATCACAAACATCAATACAATTTTAGTATTCAGTTTCCTTACATTCCTGAGAATTTTTAGGCATTTTCTTCTGCAGAAAAAAATAAAATAAAATTATCCAGCACTTCCAACTTAAATTAAGTGCATATCAAACAGCACTACTAGATGCTAAATACACACTGAAAACATAGCTGTTAGCCAGCACCAAGCTGTCATATTGTGCCAAGGCAGAAGGCTTTCAAAGTTCTTGAGTAAATCCTCTACAAAACATTCCAGCATGGCAGAACTATATCTAGAAGAGGCACATTTACTCCCAGGATAACTTTACTCTCCTGTGAGACTCCACAGTGCCAAAAAGAAACTCAACAGTCCTGGGACAAGAGCAGAAATGAGGGTCTGGTTCCCAAGATTACTGAAATTCCACCTTGTGGTCTCTCCTATTCCAAAGTCAAACGTGCCTTTCCAAAATGAACGACAAGCTGCTTTTCACATTAGCTATCCCAAGCATGCAAAGCCTTTCAGACTCACAATCCTAAACGTGCACACACTTGTACCACCTCAAAAAGTATGCTTAGCAATACTACAGACATATGTATAACTTGTATGTGTGTGTGAAGATCTGGATAAAGCCTGAATCCTCCTAACAAAGGCAATCCTGCACATCTGCGCCTTGCCAAGCAGGATGGGAAAAAGATGTAATAAACAGTAACATCCACATCTCCCCAAAAGGGCTTCTTTCTTGCCTTCCTTATCCTGTAATAAACCATCCTCTAAATCCATGCTATTGCATGTAAGGCCTTGCAATCTCTTCTGTGGCCATTCTTCTGCCCATTCCTCTTGCAGACCTGAGCTGGAAATGGGCAGGCAATGGCAAGGATCACTACTCCTTGACATGGCTCAAAATCATAAGGAGTTATTGCAGCTCACTTAGATCTGCTGACCCTGTAGCCCTGCGTTAATGAAAATAAGACAAACTCAGCTAAACCATTGTCTTGTTTTGGCATAAGTGGGTGAAGGAGCATTTGCACAAGCAGCTAACTAGACTGAGATGAAATTGGAAATTTTACAAGAAGGCTTTTTGTTTATGAGAAAATCATGACATGACATGTAAGAACTGGACTCTGCAGATGTAGGGTGCTGCACAGCTGCATGTGCTATAAACCCCAGATAACAAGGGGTTACCACTGGATCCAGAATAATCCCTACATTCTGGGAGTGATTCCCTCACAGCCTTCACAAAGTAAAAAATCACCCCCAGCAATCCCTACTGACACACACATAACACAATCACCCTGACATTTCTAAATGTTCTAAAAGGAAGTGTAGAGGATGTCTACCTACATGAAACTCATTTGTTCCTCTGGATGGTCCAACCCAATATCCCAAATACGCCTGGAAAACAGACTGCTAAACACTGACCACAGGCAGACCACACTTCTCATGGAAACAGTGCATGTTCAGTAATTGGTGCTGGGGAATCGCTCACCACCAACCAAATAGAATGCTGTCTGTGCCCTCAGGGTGCCAAAGCAGCACCATGTTCCCCAAAAGCACAGCCAGGGACTGGAGAGGTCCAAGTGACCGCGATGGTGGCAGAATGAATTAAAACCACATTTCTAAGCCAACCATAACTTTTGTTTTTTTTGCAAACTAGAAGTCACAATTACAGCAGCATCCAGAACGTAGCCATTTCCATCAACATCCACTTCCCGCTTGGGAAGATACTAATTATTTAACCAGACAACAAAAAAAAAGTAACACTCTAAACTTCTGATTTGCTCTATATTCTTTCCTCTGAGATTAATTTTCTCTTAAGAAGTATTCATGTACATCCCTAATTTTGCACAGTTTCTCCATGGGTTTCTTTCTTCTGCCTTCCAAATACCTCTCTTGCTGCAGATTCCAAAAAACAATCTTTAAATCTTCAGAAATCCCCAAAGCTTGCAGCAAAAATAGAGCTTTATTTTGTTTCCCTGTGCTACCTATATTTGAACTATTCCAATTTGAACACAGCTAACCAAAACGATCAACAAAGGGCAAACAGCTGCCAAGCAGTGTCAGAGTTTCCTCTCATGTGAGCAACCCAGGACTACAGAAACACTAACATGGAAGTAATTAAGAACACCCTTAAAATAGAAATGTAAGCATGCGGTGTGAATTGCCAGCTCACAGCACAAAGGGGAAAAATGCTATCTTTTGATCTTTCTTCAGCAACATTTTAAGCATTTGACATTTGTCTGAAATCACTTATCCAGCACACAATCTTCAGAATTCATGTTGACTGATATTATTCTAATTATTCCAAGGAACAGCTTTGGGTTTTTTGCTCCTGACAAAATACCTGTTTAGGCAAAGCATTCTTGGATGGACTTTTAGCATCTTCAACAAGATTCTGGGCAAGATCGTTCAAGTTCAATTACTTTTTCTATTAAGCACTATGATACTCATCTGCAAAATACATATTCTTCATTTCATAACACATCTGACAATTGAGAGCATCTCCATAGCAACTACAACACCTGCAGCCAAAGGATTTAAAAACATTTGGAAAGCCTACAATAATCCTGTACAAGAAATGCTATTTTGAAACAACTGTATGAAATATAGAAAAAATTTCAGGACTACCATGTTCATCCAGGGCTTTTTTATTGGTTGGTTGTTTTTTTCCTTTGTTTTTGTAAGACCATTAGGAAAAACAAATAAGGAGAAAACTCAAGGGTGATTATGCTTTAAGCATCATTAAGTACTTTTCAGAATTTATTTCAAGAAAAAAAAAAAAGGTACTCATAATCACAAGGTATTCATTAATCAGATTCCCAATTTAAAACAGCAGCAAGACTTTCCTTCCACTTGGCAGCAGAGTGGAGTCCCAGTTAACCAGATCTTTTGGATCACTTCTCCAGTTCCTTTCTGCAGCTCTGAACCAGGTGCTTGGACCCCACTGCCTATAAAAGCTGCAGGGCCAAGACTACACCAGCAAACTGCCATACTTAATGGTGAATAACATGATGGCTTCACGTCAGAGAAAGACATGAAGAAAAGGAAGGTTGATTCCAAAGTCCAGGAAACACCTGGAAATCACCATTCTGATTCTGCTTTATATTCTCACCATTTTCAGCAGCTACAGATTGTAGTCAAGACTGGCAGGTCTCATTTCTAACAGTACAGATGTAAGTTAAAAGTGAAGAGAGGAAAAAAAAACAAACAAAACCAAAACCAAAATAACTTCTGCAAAAAGACAAAGTTCAAATGGGTTTTTGTTTGTTTGTTTGTTTTTCTTTCACTGCCAAAACACTTAACTACTACTTGTTTACAGCTGCTCACCATTGCTCTGGCTAGAATAAGCCAATCTGCAGAACAGTAATTCCTTTGGGGAGCAAATCATGGCCAAGATACTGCTTCCTTATTCTCACTGCTGAGACCTATAGTGAAGCTTCATTTCAAGTACAAACAAATGCTGAATAACAGCTCCTGATCTGCAAAGATTCTTCATAAAAGAAAACTCTACAGAGAGTAAAAATATGCAGCTTTTAGCTGTTTTCATTCATTTTCTCAGTAAGAGGAAAAACAATGTCCCTGACTGACCTGCACAGTTGGAATAATTGCCATATGCAGTCACCTGCTGGAGATAATGACATTGCAGATGAGTAATGAGGATTCCACTGAAACTGCAGATTTCTAACTTCCAAACAAATTCCATTCTGTTACATGTTAATTACTATGGACATGATTAATCCTGTCATTGCAACAGCATACGTATCACAGGCATGCAACATGCCAAGTCTCATACCAAGGCGTTGACATCCTCAGTTTTGTAGATCAACATCCGTATCTCTTCTGGGTCACCGCTGAAAATCGCTTGGACCAGTGGTGGCTGGAAAATCAAACAGAAGCAGCAGCATTACAGGTTTGTTTGTTTTCTGTTCAAAAGGAAATCATATTACTCCTGACAACATTTACCAATGCTGCCGACAGACACTGTATGACCCCAGTAACAAATCTCCACAACACCTCATCAATAAGAACTATCAGTTTGCTCGAGGATAAACTGAAACCACAAGCATGTTTGTACGTATAATGACTCTGTGTGTGCACAAACAGGGACCCCATTAGAATGGCAACTTTTGTCAACAACAAACTATTAGCCCAGATGTTCTCCTGGGCACATAAGGGGAAAATAATTACATCAGATATTGCTGCATGCTTGCTGTTGGCACAGATTAATGGTCATGGAATACAAATTTAGAAACAGAACATTATGCAGATAATGAATTTCTGGGCAATTACTAAACATCTTGTATCTTTTTACTGAATAAATATGCAATGAGCACAGTTAATTTTAACCACCCAAGAAGCAAAATAATTATCTTATTGTTTCAAGTCTGTTATTTAGCTATTATGAATCGAAATGCATAAATAAATAATCAAGCATATGGGAGAAACAATATGCCATGCTCAATCCTCCAACAGTGCTGGCGTCACTGCCCCGTCGGTGCGCGGGAGAGCTGCACATGCTCAGCTGCTCCCTTACATGCTCAGAGCTGGCAGTTTCACTCCTTCTGCCCAGGTTTGATCTGGAGCCTCAGCAGCAAATACCAGAGTTGTTAACCAAGCTGGAAAAACACATCCAGCTAAATAAAAAAAAAATTAAAAACCCCACACCAAAAAATCCCCCACAAAACCTAAAAAGCCTCCCTCCTCGCTGGTGGAGACTCAGGTAAAGAAGGGGAGAGACTGCAAAGATACCTATCCCTGAAGCACGTATTTGAAAGAGAAGGCAGCCCCTTTTTCATTGTCACCCCTCCTCACAGCAGTATATGCCCCCTGCCCGAGCTTGCTGCCCACTCCAGGTTGCCTCATGGTCCTACCAGCAAAAAAGTTTGCTGTGCCATGCAGACACCACAATCTAAAATAGCCCTGCAAAATGGAAGCATGCGTGACTACTTAAGCACATAAAATTACAATATTTCTTAAGACTCTGCAGAATTTATCTATCTTGTAAACAGGTTATCCAGAAATTCACAAACAAGCTGGCAGAACAGGAAAAAAAACATTTTCCCCAATCTCTTCACTGCAAAATTCATCACACTCCAATGTGGAAAATACATTTTCAAGTTGATGGTGTCTATTTTAAGACATACTAATCCCTTATGTCCTTGAGAAAGATTCACATTGAAGTTTTGTTCTTGCCACTCCTCCAATGGAAAAAGGACTAAACCAGCATATTTTATTATAACAGTCTGCAGTCTTTGATTTGAAGAAGAATAAAATAATAATTGTGTTACACTTGAACCATTTAGCCATGCTTCCTTCCCAGCCCATGTCACAAGGGTCACAAACTATTCCCCACCAGAGCATGCAAACATCAGACCTACAAGTCTCTTCCCTTCTCCATCATCTGCCAAACAGAATTTAGCTAAGAGTGAGATTGTCTCCTTTCTGCACTTTTCTCTACCAAAAGAAAGAAAGTGATGCTCTAATGTTTTGCCCACTAGCATGCTAATAAAAATTTGTATTTCCTAGATTTAGCACAACACTAACAGCTATATGTGAATGTTTATGGAATTAAAATACTCATGCCAAAGTATTGCCATTTTATGTACTTTCATCATAACATTTAAATAACAAAAGCAAACAGGAAAGCAGAGAGTTCCTCAATTTCAAGCTGAATGGCAACAAAATCCAGTGACCGAGCAACAAATACACCCAGCAGCTCACATTAGTCTTTAAATCCACTTGCAGGTATACTGGGCACCCAAGGAAAGGTATCAGCCAGGCTCTCATGACACGTAAGCTGAGACTTCAGACAGGAGGTCCCATCACCAAGAGAAAAAGATCAACCAACTTCCAATCTGTTGGATCTTTTTTAAAAGTACAGATACTGTAACAGGTGACGTTTTTCTTCAAAGAGGGTGAGGGTAAAGTACTGTCTGTCATTACACTAACAAAGGAGGAAAGTCTGCAGTAAGACAGCTTGACCCATCTTCCCTGTTCCAGAACTCTGATTCAGACAGCTGGATTTACAGGAAACTCTTGACCTTTTTAATTAGCATCAGCTACTTCACAGAGAAAGCAGATTGAGAATAACACTGTGTTCTTTAGATCTGTAACATATATAAAATCCTCATCTCAAATTCAGGCCACTGTACCATGCAGCTCTGTATATCAAACCCCAGCATCTACTGGGCCTCTGAAGCAGGGTCTAATTCTCACACTGCTGATATACATAACCTTTGTTGTTAGTAGAAGGCTGCCATATACCCATGTGCAAAGGCCTTAGTCCTTCAGCCCTTTTTGTCCATGAGATTTACTTTTTATAAATTGATTTCAATAGAATCTATCACTGCTAATTTTACCACCAAGAGACAGAGATAGTGGAGAATGATCAGAGACAGTGAATTGGAAAGAACAGATAAAACCAGTACAGGTTAATACTGACCTTGAGTCACTGCCCTGCAGCTTTCTCTAATTGCTCCTTTTTCTAATTCACTACGTCATGATCATTTTTAAAGTTTTGAAGTGAAAAATACATTCTTGTTAAGGACATTTTATTACATGTTAAGACATGTTTCTGTGTAAGATGCACAGTCACGTATAATGACTTGCTTAGGAAAAACATGTCAGAAGTGTGTAGTGGAGTTGCTGCAGTTTGCAGTCAGAGCTGAGAACGTGCATCCGCCTCTATCAGCAGGATGGAAAAAGTCCTGCTCCATTCAGCAGCTGACAGTGATGAAATGGAGTTTGTGCAGCTACGTACATGTTGATGATGGATGTCCAGTGACCTGAACAGATTACTTTCTTGATCTTCTGTAATAACCATGTTCAAGCATTAATGACTTCAACACTAAATAACTTTCTTTCTTTTTTTTTTTTCTTTTTTTTTTCTTTTTTTGTGTGTGTGTTAATTCCTGAAGGGCAAATAATAACACTTCCTAATTAGCAAAGAAGGATACAGTATATTTTTGGAAATTATTTCTAAAACCTGTGACAACACCATTAAGGGGTTATTTCCTTAGCAGATATACTTTGCTTTAAAACTTTTCAAACTCAGAACAAAGATAAAAAACAAAAAGAAAGCACAGAGCAGGTTATGTATAACTACGATTAGAATTAAGCAAGGGTGCGGGTTTAGGAATGATGAACAACTGTTTCATCAGCTCAGCTCTCCAGAGCTTCCAAATTCTTAAGGAGAGTTTCAGTTGGGAGTGCTCACATATTTTCCTGAAAATATACACCAGCAGCTAACAGAAACCTTTCCATGTTACTTTTTATACAGTTAATATTGTAAGTACAAGACTCATAGAGCTTTATTAGTGTTCTTTACTTTGTGTTGTAAAAAGCATTTCAGCAAAAATGATACTTTATCTGCAGACATCTTCCAGTGTTGGAACACATCCCTATCTTTAGTGCAACCACAAGCTGGACTTCACTCCAGCAGGTACAACAAGCTTATTGAACTGAAGGTGTAATGATTATTTCAGCAGGGGTGAGTTTAAACCCATGTGTAAGAACATCCCATGGCTCAGCTGGCATCCACAGGGTTGACAAGCCACCCTGGAGAAAAAAAAACAGCACTGGGAAAATTCTTCTCCATAGATCAAACAGTACAGAGAAAAGCCAAGACTATTACCAAGTGGCATTTGCAGGTCTCTGAACTGCAGATAAGATTAAGTATTTAAGTAGACTGTCTCAAGTATCATTTTAAATACTACATCCAAAGTGGGTGCTGAACCTCCTAGAAAACCAATGAGTATATTCATTGAGTAACTGTGATGTATATTAAATACTTTGTCTTGGTTTTAGATATTCTGGCTCACTAACAAGTATTTATTTGAGCTAGATTATAATTTGACAGGACCTGGAGACAGATAGGGACAGGATGATTGATTCCCATGCCGATTTGATATAATACACTGTAATTTGGTCTTGTGAGTGAAAAGAAGTTATATATTGATCCTTCAGTTGTTCTAATTCCATTACATCAAGTTGCTGGCCTAAACACTTGGATATGTCCATGTAGTTACTCATTTCTCTTTAACTGGCAAGACAACATAGCAAGAAACATAATAGTTTCAAGGGGCATTGATTTTGTCAGTGTTTTGCCTAACACCTTTTTTATCTGCAGGTACTCCCATTAATCAAGATTACAAGGTTGCCTGCAATATCACATCACGTACAGCTATTTCCTTCCACTGGTCACAGCACAAAAACTAGTCCCCTTCCTAATTTTAATTTAGGACTTCCTTCCTTTGAGCATTCAATGGATGAACATCTGAAATGCTGTTTTACTTTAAGGTCTGTACAAGTGAGCAGTCATAAACTGGATTTCTCTTAATTCTTAGAGTGCGTTTCCCTGGTGCTTGGTATTTATGCAGTTTCAAGTACACAAATTATTCAACACTCCTCATTTCTTAATAGGCCTTGCAGTGTATTTCACTTGTGTCAGTGGTTAGACTTGGATGTCCTGGATGGCTGCTAAGCGCTGTCTCAGAGCGATTACAGATTTTTACTGAGAGTCTCCTAAGAAATACTTGTCCAAGCTACAAAAAGGCCAGTGGGGAGAATATAATCCATAAATAGGGTGTTCTAGGCCTCCGGAAGCACTGTAGCAAACTGACAGCATTGTTAAGTGAGTACATACCAAGGACACTTACACTGACCAGATCAGTAAATACCCTGTACACTGCAATATTTCAAATATAGCAGGAAAAAGTTTTTTGATTAATTTCATATTCTTATGTTCCTCAACTTTTTGCAGACTATCCCAATTATTTATATGGATTGCCCAAAATCCACTGCCTGTATGCCTACACATTCCTACTTATTTCGATTTGTTCCACTGTGTTTCCATGCTCAAGGACCAAAAAACTT